GGCAGCGGGGGGGGGGGGGGGGGCTAGTCTCTGTGACAATGGAAAATAGTTCCTAGCCATCTTTTTGTCATTCATGAAAAGACTGCATGAAACAGAATTAATCTTGATAAGGAGCAACATAAAGCAGAATACCAGAAGACAGATGAAAATTTCAAAGTATGTTTAAATGTTTATTTATTTATTTATTTATTTATTTATTTATTTATTTATCATATTTGTATACCGCCCTACTCCCGAAGGACTCAGGGCGGTGAACAGCCAAGATAAAATACAAAGACATACAAAAGTTAAAAAACTATTAAAAACAGATTAAATAATTTAGGCTCAAAAAACAAATGTAAGACATCCAATTTATCTAAAAAACATTTTAAAACCCAATTTAAAAGGGAGAGTTAGGCCAGACCAGCCTGTTGGAATAAGAACGTTTTTAGGGCGCGGCGGAAGATGCGTAAGTCTTGAATCCTCCGTATCTCCGGGGGGAGCTTGTTCCAGATGGCAGGTGCCCCCACAGAGAAGGCTCTCCCCTGGGGGCCGCCAGTCAACATTGTTTGGCCAACGGCAACCTGAGGAGCCCCTCTCTATGGGAGCGAACTGGTCGGTGAGAGGCTACTGGTGGCAGAAGGCAGTCTCGTAAGTACCCTGATCCTGAGCCATGGAGCGCTCTAAAGGTGGTAACCAAAACCTTGAAGCGCACCCGGAAGACCACTGGGAGCCAGTGCAGCTCGCGCAGGAGGGGGGTCACATGGGGGCGCCACATTGCTCCCATCACCACCCGCGTGGCCGCATTCTGGACCAGTTGGAGCCTCCGGGTGCTCCTCAAGGGGAGCCCCATGTAGAGAGCATTGCAATAGTCCAGGCGTGAGGTGACAAGGGCATGAGTGACCATGCGTAACGAGTCCCGATCCAGAAACTGGCGAATCAGGCGAACCTGATAAAAAGTCCTCCTGGCCACGGCTGCCATATGCTCTTCTAAAGACAGCCGTGAGTCCAGGAGGACGCCCAAGTTGCGAACCCCATCTGTGGGGGCCAACGACTCGCCCCCAATAGTCAGAGATGGCGCCAACTGACTATATCGGGACGTCGGAAACCACAGCCACTCGGTCTTGGATGGGTTGAGCCTGAGTCTGTTCCTCCCCATCCAGATCCGTACGGCCTCCAGGCACCAGGACATCACCTCGAGGGCATCATTGGGGTGGTCTGGGGTGGAGATGTACAGCTGGGTGTCATCAGCGTACTGATGGTACTTCACCCCAAAACCACGGATGATCTCACCCAGCGGCTTCACATAAATGTTGAACAGGAGAGGCGAAAGGACCGACCCTTGCGGCACCCCACAAATGAGGGGCCTCGGGGTTAACCTCTGCCCCCCTGTCAACACAGACTGCGACCGATCGGAGAGAAAGGAGGAGAACCCCCCACCCCAACCCTTCCAAGCGGTGCAGCATGATACCATGGTCGATGGTATCAAAAGCCGCTGAGAGGTCTAATAGGACCAGGACAGAGGAGCAACCCCTGTCCCGAGCCCTCCAGAGATCATCAACCAATGCAACCAATGCCGTCTCCGTGCTGTACCCGGGCCTGAAGCCCGACTGGAACGGATCTAGCTAAGTCAATTCATCCAGGTACTGAGGCAGCTGTCGTGCAACCACACTCTCGACAACCTTCGCAACAAAGCGAAGGTTGGAGACAGGACGATAATTTGGTAACACAGCCGGGTCCAGGGAAGGCTTCTTGAGGAGGGGCCTCACCACCGCTTCTTTCAGGTCGGCGGGAAAGACACCCTCACTCAAAGAAGCATTTATAATCCCCTGGAGCCAGCCTCGTGTAACCTCCCGGGAGGCCAGCACCAGCCAGGAGGGACACGGGTCCAATAAACATGTGGCCGCACTCAGTCTGCTCAGTATCCTGTCCACGCTTTCGGGAGTCACAGGATCAAACTCTTCCCATATAATATTCTCAGGACCTGCCCCTCTCATCTCCCCTGGATCTACCCAGTCAGAGTCCAGCTGTTCCCGAATCTGAGCGATTTTGTCATACAGATATTGTACAAAATCCTCAGCTCTACCCTCCAAGGGGTCCTCCCGCACCCCCTGGTGGAGCAGGGAGCGGGTCACCCTAAACAGGGCGGCTGGGCGATTATCTGATGATGCAATATGAGCAGGAAAGTAGTTACTCTTCTCTACTTTTATCGCCACTAGGTAATTCTTAATATGAGATCTTACCAGTGTCCGGTCGGATTCAGAACGACTAGCCCTCCAACTGCTCTCTAGGCGTCTTTTCCGGCACTTCATCTCCCTCAGCTCCTCAGTATACCAAGGAGCCAGGTGAGACCGGCGCCGGGTCAGAGGCCGCAAAGGCACGACTCGGTCCAAAGCCCCAGCAGCCGCCCTATCCCAGGCGGCTACTAAGTCCTCAGCCGAGTCGTGTGCCAGAACCTCAGGAAATGGCCCAAGCTCCATCTGGAACCTATCAGGATCCATCAGGCGCCTGGGGCAGAACCACCTGGTCGGTTCCACCTCCCTGCGGCGGGGAGTGGTGGTTCGAAGGTCCAGGCGAAGGAGGGAGTGATCTGACCATGACAAGGGTTCAATCGCTATATCCCCTATCTCAAGATCACTCACCCACTGTCCAGAGACAAAAACCAGGTCCAGTGTGTGTCCCCCCATGTGAGTAGGGCCATAAATTAACTGGGTCAGGTCCATGGCCATCATGGAAGCCATGAACTCCCGAGCCACCTCAGACATCTCGCCAACTGATGGCAGGTTAAAATCCCCCATGACCATAAGCCTGGGGGTGTCAACCACCACCACGGCTATAACGTTGAGCAGCTCGGGCAGGGCTGCTGCCAAATGGCAGGGAGCCAGGTACGTGACTAGCAAGCCCAACTGCACCCTATGACCCCACTTCACAAGGAGGGACTCACATCCAGCCGTCTGAGGAACAGTGGCCTCCCTCGGTCCAAGACCCTCGTTAATGATAACCGCCACACCTCCGTCCCTCCCCTGTGACCTTGGCTGATGGAATGCACGGAAACTGGGTGGGCACATATCAACAAGGGGGGCTTCCCCCTCCTGGCCCAACCAGGTCTCCGTGATACCCGCCAGGTCCGCACCCCCCTCCTGAATAAGGTCACAAATAAGGGGGGCTTTATTTACCACGGACCTGACGTTGCACAGCATCAGTCGAAGGCCTGGGGCCCGAGGTTCCGTACAACCTGGGGAACGAGAAGAGCTTTGGGGGCCGGAGTGTGCAACCGCTTGCAACCAGCGAGGACGCACTCCCACAAAATGATGTGGCCCCCTGCTCCCGCCATATCTGCCCCTCCCACCTACAGTATCGATGTCATGGCCATCTGCATCATAAGCTCTAACCCCCTCCCTGACCCCTGAGTCTGCACCTCCCATGCCGCGCCCCTCAGCTGGCTCAGATACCCTCCCCCGCGGTTTTTCCCCAAACCCACATAACCTACCCCCTCCCAGAATCCCTTAAAATCTTATTAAAAAATTTCCCTAAAAAACCCCATAACCCTCTTTTTGCTGTATGCCATCTCTCCAGACTCCAAAGTCCATCATCGAGATAGGCCCTCGATAAAGCAGAGGGCCAGCCCTGCAAGAGGGGGGGCTCTCGCAGTTTGAGGAGTTCTCCCAACGAGTACATTTTGTAGCTAGATAGTCCATAGCTGGTGGGGATGTCCTAGCTATCCAGGGTCCCGTGGAGAGAGTATCAATCAGAGGTACAAGTCATTTTAGTCCCACTGACCTCTCACATCAGTGGTAGAAAACTTAAGCCATTTTGAACTCAGATGTAAACATCGGTCACCCTCTCACAGCAACCAGATATAGAGGAGAGAAACAGCAGCTTTAGTCCGGTTCTTTCAATGTTGTACCTAGGCACAGATAGAATAGCCAATCCTTGAGTTCAGAGACACAGATAGTCTGTGGGAAATATGTAGTAGCGAATCCAGGGAGACTCAGATGACATAAAAGTAGGGAAACTCTCATCCTGACACACAGGAAACAACAAACCTGGATAGTAAATGATCACAAAAGGCTGAATATCCGGCCACAAAAGGGGCACGTGAGATGAAAAATACAGGAGGGGGGGAGGTGGAGTAAGGCAGTGACATACCAGAGCAAAGCCCCCATGGTAGACACCACAGTCCCCTTCCCATCTCCTTAGCCACCTTCAGGTCTTCCATGCATAAAGTACCTCTGGTTTAACCCCCCCCCACATAGAAAAAAGAGGGGGGAAGCCTCTGGGAGACGGTCCAGGGCTGGCCCGACAATGAATGGGTCAGCTTCCCTCCGTCGCCCAGGAGTTTCCGCTGAAAATAATCAGGCAGGTCCCTGCTCTCCCGCTTGTGGCCTCTTTGGTCTCCGCCGCTCCCACTACCGCCGCCGGTAACTGCCATTTCGGGCGCCGTCGTCACTGCCGCCATCACCATCGGCCTCCTCCGTGCCGACTCTGCCCACCGCTGGCCTCCGCAGGCAGCTCCTGCCATCACCAGGGTCCAGCGGAGTCTCGCCAAGGGTGCCAAATGGCCACCGCCGCCGTGCACCGCCATCCCTCTGGCAGCCTCCGACGGATGCAGGGTCGGCTGTCACGGAGCTCCAGGCCTATCTCGCCATCTTACACCCCGCCAGCACCGCCCGTCTCACTTCAAGCTGTTCCGGAGAGCCAAGCCATAAACTGCTCTCCCAAAGGATCTTCCGGAGCCAAAATGCTCCCAACGAATCGGCGAATCAGCCCTCTCACCACGCCATGGACCATAGATGGACAATCTGGCCCTAAGGACCCCCTAACGGCCAGGGCATCACCCCCGCAAAACCGGAGCTCCGTCAGGAGTCGCCATCTTGGGCGTGCGCAATTCAGAATTATGTTACACATAATTTTATTAAAGTGCTGTACATACTGTAGTTTTTAATCTGTAAATGTTCTAATAGTATTAGCCTAACATTGTCATGCATGTTAACATTTGTATTTAAAAAATCCAAACTCACCCGTAAGAAAAATGGAAACTTCTTCCCATAAAATCCAACTCTGAAAAACTCAGGCTCCAAACGTTGCTGATCCATAATTTTATCGTATAAAGAAGCTTCCATCAACTGTGTGGATTTAGATAAATAAAGAAATGAGAAAGAAGGACATTTTGTGTACTTTTTGTGTACTAAACAAAAAAGAAAAACAAGAAATATCATTCAACTGTGATCTATAGATATCAAAAAATGATTTCAATCCAATGGTTATATAAAATGGTACTAGACAGAGTTTTGGATTTATCAAAAGAAATAGCACTTGTTTGGCTCCTCCTTCATTCTTATCTATTTTGATTTGTATTCTTTTTCAATCGTACACTTATTATGGTCTTGTGGGGATTCAAAAGTTCAACTGAAGTACTCCTTCAAAGCTATTTCACAAAGTACTATGGTATAGCACTTCATGATGCAAAATGTTACATCATGTTACTTCAATTTTGTTCTGCTTTGCACAGCTACAGGAAAAAAAAGGAGGGGCTGCTGATCTACTCCAGACTGTTTGCCAAAAGGTTTAGTGAATCGCCTAGAAGCAAATGAGTGTTGCAATGGTGCCATCAGTGAAATTTTTGGCAAGTGTTACAGAGCTCCAGGCTGTTTATGCAGAAACTTTCAACAAGTATTGCAGAAGATGTGTCATTTACCTTTTCCAAATCATTAACTGAAATTAAATTACTTTGGCGAGCATTATAGAAGACATAGCGCACACCTCCTCCTACATAGTTTGCATTAATATTTAGGAAGCTGTACCAGAAAACACATTAGTCTGCCTTTTCTGGCTTGTGTTTTCCAATGCCTGCAAAAAAAAACACCCTGTCTTCTATTTTTGGCAAATGACAGATAGGATGTGGTGAGCAACTTTTTAATCAAAGTAAACTGATTTTGTGACTGTGGTCTAGAGTTCAGATTTCCTGGCTCTACAGCTATCAGATCACTTGTGTATAAAGACAGGAGCCCAGTCAGTCGCTGCTCAATTGCCTGTAGATTGTATAGCAAACCATCTTGCTCTGAAGATGCCAGCCATATTTGTTGGTGAAACATCAGAAACTCTGTTATCTAGACCACGGTTGCTAAATCCTGAAGCCCAACATTGCCCAACAGATATCAGCCATGAAAGCCTACACTCATGTGACCCTAGATTCACTTGCACAATCCTAGTTTGTTTATTCATTACATTTTAAAAACTACCCAATAGCTGAAACTCATACAATAAATAGTCATTGATACTATACCTTAAAACAAAAGTCACTATTACACTTACATTCTTAGTTTCACCCACAGAAGATGAATAAATTTTGTATCTCTGTTTGATTATCAAGTATCTGATTCAGCTGGAACTGACAACCCAAAATTAATAAGGGCATCATTAGGCATCACACAATGTTTGTCTTTTTTAGGTTATTAGGTTATTTATTTATTTTTGTTTTTATCTACTTTTGCTTCAAAGGATGATCTTAAATTCAGGGCTGTCCTCGCTGTGGATAAAAATGGTAGTCTAATTGTGAAAGACTGTACTGTACTGTGTGAATAATATTTATATTTAAAAAATTCAATTTTATTACCCGCATCTTGCTGAGATTTCTGTAGTCATAATAGCTTTCATATTGCTCAGCAATCTTCCTGCATAAAATAATACCATTTTCCCAGCACTGTAGACAAATAAGAAAGAGAAATTTTCACCAGAGAGAAGAATCTGAAGGTTTTTATTTGTTCCCAACAAATTTTCAAGTATCTCCTGTTAGCAGTTCAATCTCTCCCTTAACAATTACTAATATTATTGAAAAGGAAGAGAACAGCTGCTTATGAAAATTGTCAATACATTAAATATAATTAAATTTCATTCACAGATGTTCAGAATAACTGACTTGCCAGGTTCCTAGACTGGAATTCATATACTACTGAATACCATTGGCAAAACTGTACGCATAACCTTATTCAAATATTTGGTATATGTAGCATAGAGGAGAGTCAGAAGGTACCCCTAATACTGGTTTAAATCACTTTGCTTCTTGAAGCAGAGCTTATATATTGGCTTTCCTCCCTACTAGGGTCAAAATTGTAATACACTTTGCTTGATTAGTGTTTGCAACATGCTGTGTCAACAATTCTGTCTACATTAGGTTGATTAAAATATACATGTTTAAGCAGGGGAGCATAGGCTAGGTCCATATGATCAATATTTCTCACAAGACATAATTCACTGCAAGGGCATAGAGTAGTTTAATTCTCCTCCACATATAGTTTTTTTTAAGATATTCATTTTAAAGCATCCCAAATAGAGTTTAATGTAAAAAAAAAAGTTTTATTTTTCTAAAGAGCATACCACCATTAAAGAGGAACCACTTCTAAAGTACAAAGATTCTCAAGATCCATCTCATTCTCTATGCATCACTGTGACTGTTAGGGAAGCATTTACATAAAACTGCACAATGATCCATAAACTAGGAACTGCTGAAACAGAAGACTGAGTTTTAGCAGGAAATGGGCAGGGAAAAGGGCATATGACATTTCATGCATAATGACATCATTTGTACAATTATATACTTGAGCAGGGGTGTCAAACTGATGGCCCACAGGCCAGATGCATCACACGCAGGCCACGCCCACCCCAGTTCCGCAGTCAAAAAAGTGACAATATGTCATGATACGTCACGTGATGTAATCGAGTTTGACACCCATATACTTGAGTCATGTGATGCAAGTCTGTAACTCATTTATCTGCAAAATGGTGTCATGTGGATATCATTGAGGTTTCTACCAGATCCCTATGCATGGAAAACTATATATGAAACTGGTATTCATTTATCAAGATATTTTAATAAAGGCTCTACTTCTCTACATCTTCCAGGTGAAGAGGGAGGAAGGAAAACAAAGTCAAAGATATGGTCCCACAGTTCTTTCTTATCCTTTACACTGAAAGAGGCCACTGCATAAATTTTATAAAACAAAACTAGACCCCAAGAAGAGTTACAAAAGGGGTAGGAATACCCACAGGGCTTTTCAAACAATCTTACTGTCAGATCCCTAAAAGTAATACTGCCATTCAATTGGGAGAAGGGGAAGGGGGGGCTGGATTCGATTTATTAGCATTGCCTGTGTCAACAGATATTTTACAACCTATATCCTGGCGCCAAAGCGCCCTGAGATCTCCTTACCTTTGGGAAATGTTTATGATGGCCATGTTGGTTGTTTCACTTTAAAGGATAATGGAGGATAGCAATGGGAATGCATGCTTATCCGGTTCTCAGGGCAGCTGGTAAAGAAAAAATCTTCACATTTGTGTATTGGCTAAAATCTGCATTCTGGCTAATGGGAGGGGTCTCTACTGCTTTAATTCTACTTGTCTTGCCTAAGGGTATTCAGACTTGCTTTGAATCCATTGCTGTCATTTCTGCTTAATAAAAGGTCCCTTTTGAAATACTCTGTTTCAAGAGTTTTCACTTTCTTAAGCTAGAGGGAGTGGCAATCCTTACAGAAAGCAACATCTGCAAAAAGGTCAACCCAGAGAAGCAATATTCGCTCTATTGAGGGGATCCTGCAAACCATGTCCAAACAAAACAGGGAACAGGGAGAAGCCGAATGCTGGGGGGAGATATCAACCTAGCCCGATGCCTGCTTCTTGCACCCCATCGGAGAGGATGAGGTAACCCAAGAGGATTCCGAAAAGCCCTGCTGGTCAATTGGCATCAGGAAGAAAGACAGCTGGGATGGGAGAACCAGAAGAGTCACCCTCAGCCACGGTAACCGAAACCCGGGTGGAAACTGGAGCTAGAAGCCCTCTCTGATTAGGGGGAACTAACCGAAGCACTGCTGAGAGAGGATCGTCTGAAGAGGCATATAACTCAATTGGTGATGGAAACTTTGGAAAATCTCAACATCCGAGGGGAGCCAGGACGACAGCCAAGGAGCACTGAAAGGGCAGCAGCTGCGGATAATGCCAGGGGGGGGCACCATCCCTCTGGAGCCCACCAATCGAGCAGATGGTGCAACAGCGGTGCCAGAGGACCTAGCAAACCCTCCCCCCTGGGCAGCATGTGCACTGGCGCCCATTCCCAACCAGCCCCAAGCCCCGCAGCTGGAAAGAAAAACTCCCTCCCTTGGGATGATGTTTGATGGGGATCCACAACAATTAGGATTCTTTGTGGCACACATGCTCACCTATATGCAAGAGCACGGGTGTGATATCCAAACCCAAGAATCCCGAGTAAAAGCTGTTACCCTAGCCCTGGAGGGAGCCGCTGCCAGATGGATGGTGACCCTGCATAACGCCGACGCACCAGAACTGCGGGACTTCAATCATTCCATGATGGCCCTGCGACAACGTTTCGAGGACCCCCTCACAGATCGGAAAGCACGCGACCGCATTAAGGTGGTGAAGCAGGGGCGACAGCCAGTGGCAGAGTATACTGAAGAATTCTGTGACCTCACATGTTGTGTGAACTGGCCACAACACACCAGTTGTGGCGTGTTGAGGACATTTTGATAAGCTGTTTCAAGGATGGGCTGAGTGATTATCTATACAATGCCTGCGTGGGCCGAGGCACACCAAATCACCTACAGGAGTGGTACCTCACCACTGAAGAAGCCAAGATTGATATGGCCAGAAACCAGTACCGAGCGGGGCGAGCATGGTAGAAATCCCCACCCCAATGGAAGCAAGAGCCCTTCAAACCGTAAACCACATTTTCTCCAAAATCCTCAGCCTGTTTCAAGCGTGGAAAGGAGGGGCACTGAGCTGCAGAGTATTGTTCTCAAACACCCACCCAGAAACCAGAATGCCCACCAGGGGGGAAACTTGCAAAACCTGGCCAGTGCAGGAAGGAGACTGCCCTGAGGAGCAGGGAAATCGTAGAGTTTCCATCCCCCTCCCACCTCTTTGGGGAGGAAACTCTAGCATCTCAGCAGGAGGAATCGCACTCATTCGGAAGCAATCCAGAGGATGCAAACCAATTAAACCACTTAACCTCCCCTTAAGACTATTTATCCCAACCGGGACAGGGAGATAAATATCTCTGCTTTAGTGGACTCAGGGTGCACCCGCTGCTTGATCAGCCCAATCTTAGTAGGGAAGTTGAGGATTAATGTAAGAAAGCTGAGAGGACGAACTTGGTGCTAGAACAATATCTAAGATGTTTTATTAATTTTCAACAGGATAATTGGACTGAACTTTTACCTTTTGCTGGTTGCATTTAATAACTCTGTACACTCAAGTACTGGTTTTACCCCTTTTAGAGTAGCAATAGGCCAGAATTTCAGCCCCATGCCTGAATTACCCACAGAAGAACCCACTATCCCCTCACTTAAGGAGTGAATGGCTACTTTACAAAACACATGACCAGTAGTTAGATTAGCTTTAAAGAAGCTAGAGAGGCTTTTAAAATGCAAGCTGACAAGAAAAGAATGGAACCTAAACCTTTCCATGTTGGAGATAGAGTATACTTATCTACAAAATTCCTGAAATTATTACAGCCATCAAAGAAACTAGGGCCAAATTTCATTGGACCTTTCCCTATCATTAGGGTCATCAATCCAGTAACAGTTGAACTACTCCTTCCAAAGACATTCAGGCAAGTCCACCCAGTATTTCACATTAGTTTACTCAAACGAGAGGTAATCTCATCACTCAGGCCACCTGCATCTACACCACCTGTTCCCATCATGATAGAAGGTGAACAATACTTTGAAATCAAGGAAATCCTTGACTCTAGGATCCACAGAGGAAAAATCCTATACTTAATTGCTTGGAAACTTTTACCCTCATCCCAAAACGAATGGGTCACTAAACACCATGTTAGGGCTCCTATCTTACTGAGAAAATTTCACTCCCAAAACCCTAACAAACCTTGTTAATATATTATAGTTTTAATTTTTAAAAGGTGGAGCCTTTCTTTTTCTAAGGAAGGCAGCATGTCAGATCCCTAAAAGTGATACTGCCATTCAATTGGGAGAAGGGGGAGGGCTGGATTCGATTTATAGCATTGCCTGTGTCAACGGATATTTTACAACCTAGATCCTGGCGTGTCAGGACACAAAGTGTCCTGAGACCTCCTTACCATTGGGGAATGTTTATGACAGCCATGTTGTGGTCCACCAGTGGCCTGTGGAGCTGGCAACAGAGTCAGACAGTGAGGAGGCTGGGGAGGAACATGGGTCAGTCCTGGAGTCTGGGGCAGGCTTGGACAAGGGCTCTGCATCAGAGGCAGAGAGGGGGCCAGGGCCATCTGGGACTTATGTGTGGACTCCGGAGCCTCCAGAGTTGGACATCAGCGAGAGAGGGATAGGGGGAGCCTGTTCCCAGTGTGCCCAGAGCTGCCAGAAAACAAGAACAGTTAAAAAAAAAGTGATGACTTGGGAGTAGGTTTTGGAAATGATTGGCCCCTCCCATAAGACATAAAGAAGGAGCAAAGGCACATGGGCCTTTGCAGGAAGCAGCGTTGTTTGTGCTGACCAGTTTTACTTCTGCAGCTCCATTTTAACTCTGTGTTCCGTGTGGCCTTGCAAACTTAATTGCCAATTAGGTCTTGGCAGTGTGTCAAGGGAGATAAAGGTGGGTGCTTATCAGCCTTATCCTGAAGGACTGTGGCAGACTTCTGTCGGACTCTTTACAATTGAGTCCATCTGTGAATGAACAGAATTCACAGCCGTTGAAATAAAAAGAGGGTTTTTGGGACTCATTGTGTACTTTTACTGTATCAGGAAACCTAGGTCAGAACAGGTCATGTAGGTTGTTTCACTTTAAAGGATAATGGAGGATAGCAATGGGAATGCATGCTTATCTGGTTCTCAGGGCAGCTGGTAAAGAAAACATCTTCACACTTGTGTATTGGCTAAAATCTGCATTCTGGCTAATGGGAGGGGTCTCTACTCCTTTAATTCTATTTGTCTTGCCTAAGGGTATTGCTTTGAATCCATTGTTGTCACTTCTGCTTAATAAAAGATTCCTTTTGAAATACTCCATTTCAAGAGTTTTCACTTTCTTAAGATAGGGGGAGAGACAATCCTTACACTTATTATGAATTGCTTCTATAAGACTGTTTAATTTCCAAAGTAATTCCAAATAAAATTGCACATACTGGCATCAGTTTTGCTCATCAAGAAACAAAAAGCCCAAACCCCTTGAAGAAATAATGTGTGATTCCTTCTATCCCAAATCATCAGGAGCTTAGAATACATCAGAAATTAAACAACCAATAGAAATATATTAAATCCATAATCAAAACTTCATATTTTAGCATTACAATTGAATCCATAAATTTTTTAGCTAACATAATCAAATCTGAAATATACTTGGTTTTTATTGATGTAGACCCTGTCATTTTAAGAACATCATAGAATTTAAAAATACACAATACAGCTCATAATCATCAATACAACACACAGTAGGTACAACTGTTGGATCAAAGATGAATCATCCTTGTTTTAAAAAAACATTATCACAATTTGAACTACTTGAACCTATCTGAAAGATATATATTAAATGAAATATGGGTATGGGGTACAGGTTGAAATTTTCCCTAAACAGCCAACTTCAGAATTCATATGAGTATGTGCAATTTGCATATCAATTATGCTGTATCTCAAATAATAGATGGCAAGCAATATTAATAATTAATTGTTCAAAAGAAGGCAGTAGCAAATAAGAAAAATAGCAGCCAAAATTTTCTTACTTTTCCTCTGTCAAAATTCTGGATTATCGTGAGATGAAGACATTCTTTACGCTGCCATTCTGTCTGCATAGGATAGCTTAGGAATTCCCGCAATGGTCTGTCTGACCATTCCAACAGTTCATCATACAGCAAAAGTGTATAGGCAGCTTCTATCAAGTTTTACAAATAAACATGAAACAATTTTAATGTATCCACAGTAACAGAAAAAATGCATTCCATAAATAATTGATACATTACTAGATAATTTGCTCCTTGATGTTAAGACTGCAACAGCATTAGATGTTAGGATAAAGTTTTGCCTATTCAGGTTTCTCTCCTCTTCTTTTCTGCAAGAGACCAGATGCTTTTGCTTCTGATTTTATTTAACTGTTATTTAATTAAATAAAAAACAAACACCAAACTATCATTAAACTTGACACTGGATTATAGAAGGAGAATAGTTTTATTAACTGTTTTAAGACAGCTTGTTTCAGATAGACTACAGTTAAGCTTAGCCATATTTTGCAGAGCTTGGGTCAATCAAAAATAGATACAAACATTTCTGAACTACTCAAAATAGGGATAACAGGAAGAGAGAAGAAATGGGTGAGGGAGATGGGCAGTTAAAAAGTTTGATATATAAATAAATAAATAAAATGTAACATGTTAAATGCAGATGGAGGATAGTATAATGGAATATAGGCCAGCAAGCAAAGAGACAAATGTAGAAAGGTGAACTCTTCCTAACATTACACAAGGTATATCTGGTAGTTATGCACATAGATGCTTTAGTTTGGCAAGGTTTCTTTCTATAGGCAAGCAACAATAAGGAAACTACTCAGAAGCAACTCCTTATGTCATTCTTAGTTCCATGGGCCTAACAGGTAGGCGAATTCCCCCCCCTCCAAAAAAATTATTCTTTTCTGAGATAATTGAATGCAACATTCATATTTACATATTTATTTGCAGTAAGGATTCTTAAAAGTAATGTTATAGCCATCTTTTACACAACATTTATGCTTCTGGGATGGCACTACATGGCCTCCACAGTATAGGTAGGTCAAGGAGCACAGCAAAGAACCAGAGATCACGTTTGGGAAGGAGAACTGGCCACTTTGGCACCATCCAAGAAGTGGATGTTATTTCTGAACAGCCACAATTCATTGCAACTGCTTCTAAAATTGGCACTCACTTCCAGAATAGTGCCACATGGCCTCTGTGTAAGAAGGCCTTGCAGTAGAAAGGTTGCTTCTCGAAAGAGATCTATTGAAAAGGTGAGTGACCAGGTGAGCTGGGGAGGTGCTACAAGTGCAGGCCTGAGCCAGAACAAGGCCTTCTAAGGTTTCCCCCTCTCTGTTGCACCCATGCTCTGCTTAACAACCACAATGTGGAGAAGAGGGATTGGGGTTATTAAGCAAGGCTATCACTATCATAAGTTGCAACCATAATGGGCAGGCTACATTACAGTCATAAGTCAACCTGTATCATAATGATCAACAGCAGGGATGTCAAACTGGTGGCCTGTGGGCCAGATGCATCACATGCAGGCCACATCCACCCCAGCTCTGCGAAGGGACAAAACATCACGAAATGTCACGTGACGGCAACTGATGCTGCAAGTTTGACATCCGTGATCTACAGTATCCATTGGTTGGTCTTATCTAACCAAGTTATTTTGGTACCTGAAGAATAAAATGTGCTTCTCCCATTTCCTGAGATTAATAATAGAATAATACATTATCACCCAATTTTTCTAATAACAGAGAAGATCTAGGTTCCCCCAAAAATAAGACCAGATCTTATATTAATTTTTGCTCCAAAAGATGCATTAGGGCTTATTTTCTGGTTAGGTCTTATTTTGGGGAAAATATGGTACTAAATGCATCCATCTGGCTAACAATCTTAACTGGGGCTTATTTTGGGGATAGGGCTTATATTACAAGCATCCTGAAAAATCATGCTAGGACTTATTTTCCAGTTGGGTCTTATTTTTGGGGAAACAGGGTATACATTTAGAATATTTCCAAAAATATTTTGTCCAGGCTATGTGAAAAAAATATTTACCTGTAAAGTTTTGTGCTTTTAGGTGCAGATCATATAGTTTATGTATGTACCTAATGTACATCTCTTCTTTATTCAGTTCTGTTTTATAGAAATTCTGGAACCAAAGCAAATTACAAAATATCATTACAACAGATAATATAACTATATTCTACAAATCACTCAGCTTAATTTTGCTGCTCTCTGTCCTGAAAAGGATGTGAATGTTTTGTTCACAAATCTTAAGCAATTATTTTATATTTTAAAAATATAAGCCTGGTGGCTCAGCAGACTGATAGCATTGTGATTAACACCAGCTGTCTGCAATTACTGTAAGTTCGAATCTCACCAGGCTCAAGGTTGACTCAGCCTTCCATCCTTTCTAAAGTAGGTAAATTGAGGACCCAGTTTGTGGGGGCAATAAGCTGACTTTGTATAAATATACAAAAGTATGAAGGCTATTGCTTAACACATTGTAAGCCGCCCTGAGTCTCCGGAGAAGGGCAGCATATAAATCAAATTAAAAGAAGAAGAAGAAGAAGAAGAAGAAGAAGAAGAAGAAGAAGAAGAAGAAGAAGAAGAAGAAGAAGAGGAAGAGGAAGAGGAAGAGGAAGAGGAAGAGGAAGAGGAAGAGGAAGAAGGAGAAGGAGAAGGAGAAGGAGAAGGAGAAGGAGAAGGAGAAGGAGAAGGAGAAGAAGAAGAAGAAGAAGAAGAAGAAGAAGAAGAAGAAGAAGAAGCAAAGAACCAGAGATCACATTTGGGAAGGAGAGCTGGCCACTCCACCCCCTCAGGCTCTCTATATAACAGCAGCCCTTTGGCACCATCCAAGAAGTGGATTCTATTTCTGAACAGCCACAATTCATTGCAATTGCTTCCAAAACTGGCACTCACTTCCAGAATAGTGCCACATGGTCTCTGTGTTAAGAAAGGAATACATTGTATGACTGACATATGTACATAACATATATTAAACTCAGAAAGTGAATAAAAGTACATGTTAAAAATTTCAGAAGTTTTATCCAAATCCTAATTGATAGGCTACTTTCCTAAACTTAGGCATTACAACCTCACAACATACTCCCACAAATTAGAATCACGCTAATGATATTATCAGAGGTAGTGGAGTTTTTTGTTGGTTTTTCTTCCTTGCTTTTCAGCATTTTTAAAGTGTAGAAATGGGAACAGAATAGCCTAAGGAAGGAAGGAAGGAAAGAAAAAAACCCTCTCTTTCAAAATCATGCCACCTAAATTCAGGAGCAGAATGGCTATTTGAATGAGAGGCGGACAGATTGTCAGATGCCTACCACTCCCTTGACCATCTTTTTAAAAGCAAAAATGTGCCAAATGTGATATTCATGATTGAGAATTCAGGGGACAATGCTTTGTCCTTTGTGACAATTTTACTGCAGTTCTGGACTAAAGCTAATGTTCCAGCTTTAAGCAAATTGAATGCTCTTGCAATAGACAACCTATATAGATTTTTGGGGAATTTATGTTAATTATTTGAATAACAAAGCATATGTTACATGTATGCGACATAGAAAGTTCAGATTATGACTATACCTACCAAAAGAATTTCTCCATTGTGGCAGGGAAGATCATCCAGGAATGGAAGCTCATCCAGGAATGGGTGGAACTCTGCTTCTCTGCTTGGAGACCGACTAGTTTTTTTTTTTTTTTTTGTCCACGCCTCCCCTGTCAACCCAGGCAGGGTTCGACTCGTCCCCAGTTCGACTCGGTCTTCTACGAGATGAGACTGAGAAAATGAGGCTCACCCATTCCTAATTACTTCAATGATGACAGGGAATTTCTTATCGAGCAAGGCTCGGAGATCACTGGGCAGCGATCCAGGAGATTTGCCGGTCCACTGGTAAAGCTCCCTACCAGCCTGACAAGCGGCCGAGGTCCCTGCCAATCCCGCGTTCAGCGGAGGGGTTTTTGCCTTGGTAAGGGCTACCCCTGGCTATGTTCTGCATCTGCAGAGAGGGACTCAGTCCCTGCCCGGCTTCATCCAGGCATACTGATAGCGGCAAGTGCATTTGACGCCTCAAGAGCCGTGGCAGGAGTGCTCATGATGAACCAGTCTGCCAGATTTGTACTTGGAAAGCGGCTGACGCCTTCGGCGCCCCATAGCCGTGGCAGGAGTGCTCTTCGCCAGCCGTTCTGCCCGTTTCTACACAAAGTGGAGGCCTCCCTTACAGCTCGTTGAGCATGGGAGCAACCAGCGCACTCACAGCCTCAGCAGGAACACTTGGTTCAGGCCAGCCTGCTTTTCCTGCCTAGAATGGCAATGTCAGTGCTCAGCGCTATTGCGGCCACAGCAGGAGAGCTCTGGCGAGACAAGCTGCCTATATTGCAAGGTAACAGGTCGGCAGCATCAGCTGCATCGCCCCAGAGGCAGGAGTGCTCGCTTCGAGCCAGACTGCCTTCTACTATGAGGTAACATCACCGGCGCCGAGCACCATGAGAGCGGTGGCTGGAGTGCTCCCTCAGAGCTGGTCTGCCTAGTCTCGGGAGCTATTCCCAGAGACACCAACCACAATGCAGCCACTAATGGAGAGCTCTTTTCGGGCCTGTCTCCTTGAATTTATGTTCAATTGTGAATGTCAGACGCTGCGGCAGCTGAGGCAGGAATGCGCCTACGAGCCAGCCTGCATTGTGTGAGAGATCATGTGAGCGGGAACGCCAGAAGCTAAGGTTGTTTTGGCAGCAGAGCTCCCTTCGAGCCAGTCTGCCCCCCCCCCATTTTATCTCAAGACCTAATCGGTGGCGGAGTCAACTGAAGCGGCCGCAGTGGGGGGCCTCATTCAGTCAACATCGGCTTTACAGCCTGAGGTGAAGGGGTGATCGACTTCACGCCATAACAATTGCAGCCGGGGAAGTTCCCCCGAGCTAGTCCGCCCGCTCCCACATGTATTAAGCGAGGAAGGTGCCTTGCATGACAGGAGTCAAGAGTGACAAACTCAGGCACCCTGCAGATAAACGGTGGGTGTTATTTTTGGCGCCCTTTTTCACCACTTTGGTGCCGGCACCAAGCTAGCTGTTTCACCAAGGGATCCATATGGGGGGGGCGGATGTCCCACCAAATTGGCTTAGGAGGCAGTGGCTCATCATGAGCTGATTTGCCTGGCAACAGCTGGAGAGGGCAAGAGCCGCCACCTTGTGCAGTGGGTTGCCGGAATAGGAGCAACAATCACTCAGGGTAGGAAGTAATCCCTGGCACTGCCCAGCCTGCCTGGGTCTTGGAGGCCAGTGGGCGGCAACTTCTGCCAACAGTCAGCGCTCCCTTATTATGTCAGGAGCTAGCAGGGGCGGCTATCAGCTCTCAAATTTCTCAAACACCAGTGTTTCGCCACCAGCTGGCACCAAGTAGGTCGTTATCTTTGGAACGCACCATTTGACAGCTCTGGTCTTCCTTCTCTACAGGTCTCAGTTTGTTCATGCCTGAAGCAGAAGCCCTGCTCCCTTCAGGGAGACCTGGTGCCACCTGCCGTAAGCTGATGGGTCTGTTCCAGGGACGGAGCACCACTGGGATGGATCAGGCATGCTAGCCTGTTGATTCTGCCGGCTACCACTCATGGCTCTTTTATAAGGCTGCAGCACACTACCACCACCACCACCAACAACAACAACAACAACAATAGAAAGAAAAAAAACACCCTCCGAGGGTTAGGAGAAATTACATGAGCTGATCTGGCTAGCCACATGGCTTCCTATACTTGGTTTCAAGTTGGCGAGCTGTCTAATATGACAACGCCCACGTTCTCATGTTATTCAAGGTGACAACAAGGCCTTGGCACCATTGCCAGGTCTGGGCCATGGCCAGCCTGGGTTCGGATCCAGTCTCCCAGTCCCCTTTCCGGGGTTCCATGGCCTCTGCAGTTATGCAGATCAGCATAGACGGCTCACAGGGGTTTCCTGGGTCATGTGCCTTCGTTCGAAACCTAGGGAACAATCCAGGGATGACCTCCCATCCCCTGGTACTGGGGGCAGCCCACATGCTGTACCCTCTGATCTCAAGGTGGTACGATACCGGCGCTGTTACCTATTGAGTTGACTGTTAACGCAATATGAGGTGGTATTTCAGTCTGACCTGGAGATAGACACCAAGGGGCTGTCTCGTACTCAACCCCTTTTTGTGGCCAGACACCAGGGACAATTCCCCCATGGACCTTAGCAGGGCAGCGGTACCTCTCAGTGTCGCAGGGGCCAGAAGGACACATTGCACGCTGCCTAGGCCCGTTGTCGGACGTTCAACCCGACGGGGCTCATTATAGACCCAGCTTCAGTTCTTCAGGGTCTGTCAAAGTAGAACCCCAATGGTTGAGGGTACTATACTGACTCTGTACAATGTTTACAGATACAGTTCAAGCATGTGTTATTCCCATCGTGGGACTTCAGCCGAGGTCGCTTTCGAGAAAGCACACCTGACGGCCTTATCAATCGTCCCCTCCGTGGCGACAGTCCCCTGCACTGGCTGCATCAAAAGCTGGCATTGGTGGAGGTAATTTGATGTCAACCATCACCTCAGGGTATGCTTCACCCAGTCCTCAATGACAGGCTGTGATGTGGCCCCGCCTGAATAGTACAGATGGCACTGTTGGTGCTTCCCTCTCTCTTCTCATAAGGCTCCTTCGGAGTCAGATACCTTCTTGTCTGGTGAAATTCAGACTGCCGGTAGGCTGGGCCCACCACAGGGGAGGATGTCAGTTCTGGGCGGGGCACGCGCTCCAACCTCTTCGCACAATGGGGTGGGGCCACAGCCATAGCCCTTGGGGCCACTGATAGTACTTACATCATTCCTCCTTCTCCCAGTTCTCAGGCTCTGGGGAGGCGCTTGCACTGGTCTGGACTCCACAAACTCGTCTTCACTCAGCTTGCCCCTGTGGTTTCCTGCAAGTGGACCTTGTCCCTTTCTCTGACACCCATTTGTCCTATGGAGTCCGCCAATTTCATATGATGGCAGGATAGTGACCTCTCATCGTTACCCCGGCTGTTCGCGTGCAGGGTTGTAACCTCCCTTACTTACCTTGGAGGTAGCCACTAAGGCATCGGTACTACGAGGGTCGGTTTATTCCAGCCGTTCTCTGTCCTCCGGCCTAGACAGGGTTTGTAATCACCATTACCGGTGTTCCATGACCAGACCCTGTCACACTGCATGGAGGCTTGCCAGTATTCTCCCATGCGGTGGCTCACTTCGGGGTACTGTGGAACCCGCACGGGGGGTGGTATAGCTATGTTCCATGGATGGACCCTGGACTCCTGCATTGCGGCACTCTTTAGTCTGGTCCGCTGCATGGGCCCTCCTGATAGGCCTTAGTCGGGCTCGGCGGGTCTCCCCCCCCTGGTTGGGATCCCACCACGGGGGGACTCTGGTCCTGCGCATGCGGTTCCCGGCCTTTCTTCAGGAAGTGGGTCATCACTAGAGGCCATTGGGCCCGACCTTCCCTTTGGGTTGCCATCTACTGCCCTACCAGGAAAGGGCAGTAGTCTTATGACATGGAACCAACTCGCTGGGAAGGAGCTATGTGCCGGCCTCTTCTGACTGCAGGGAATCCGGGACAATGTGTAGCCCAGGACATCCTTGTTTGTCCCAGGTTGTCTATCTGCAACCCGTATGAACCACATAGCATGTTTCACACTAGGCCCCTCAGGATGGGAACCCCCCCAGGACCTTGGGGTAGTGGGGCCTTCTCAGCCTTCCGGGATGGACTGGTCGGGTGAGAGCTCCTCTCACTGCCGCCGTGGAGTGGTGACTGACCACCTTTCTGGCTACAACACCTGGTGCCTAATTCGCCGATGCCGAAAGAAAGGATATCACATAGGTGGGACACACCTAGGTGAGGCAAGCACATTCCACCATTCATGGCCTGGCCGGGGAAGGGGCATCCTTCCCATCTTGCCCAGCTCATCCTGGTCCACCTGGGACCACAATCTAGGTCCACTTGCTTGTAGTTACCAGAGTCCCTTGCCGGGTTTAAACACCCTTGGGGTACTTTCCCTTGTCACGGGCCCTGGCAAGCCATCACTCGGCCGGGCACCAACGGGAAGTTAGGGCGGTCTTCACCTGGGAGTACGATGTGGGCATTGGGCTTCACACTGTTTCTGCCCTTTACCATTTTAGTGGTTCTCCAGGCTCTGGGTTTTGACCAGGCACCTGGTGGGCGGACCTAGGTGGACAGAGGTCACCTATCCTCTATACGGCCAGCTTGGCTTGGACTCACCTTCCCAGCATTGTTGTGTTTGGCTCCCCGGGGTTGAAGCTGCCATGCGGTCTCAGGGGGCCTGCAGCTGCATGGTGGGTTCCCGACAGGGATCAGACGATTCTGGTCCTCGTGTTGACCACAGGCTCTTGTTCCTGGTGACCCCTCCAGAGGGCCGATACCGTGGGCTGTCCCATACGCCTACATCTGGCCACATGGGCAATTGCCTTATGTTTGAGGTGCTTTCCAGGGATGGCTGTACCGCTTACTCGGTTCTCTCCGCGGCTTCAGCTGCGACCCAGCCCGGACCTGCAGCTGGCTTCGGCTGCCTTGGCCGCTCAGAGCTTCGACTCAATGGCCTCTCGCGGTCTTTCCCCATTGGGGGGGGAATGGAGTTTCTTTGTTCCTTCCAGTTTTCCTCCCGCTGCATCTCGGTCAACCTATCGCTTATGGGACAGGGAGCCGGGCTGGCATGGTCCGATGGAGAGCTTCCGGAATGTCCACTACTTCAAGTGCCATGGCATCTCTTCCGGGGAGGTCATGCCGGTGGCACGGGTCACACATTTGGGAAATCCTTCTAGTCTCTTGTTATGCCCATTTGGTTGGCGCTGCAAGGGACAGGTGAGTTCTACAGGGGATCGTGCGGAGCGGGGGACTTGGAACCAGACTGCTTCCCTCCCTTATGATTAACCGGTTTTGGTAAGTCCCATTCCTGGATGATCTTCCCCATCACACTGGAGAAGGGGCGTTGGTCCTACCTGATATGCGCTCCTTCTCAGGGTGCGGGGAAGATCATCCAGCCCCACCCTGGTGACCGTCTGGTCCATAGTCTGGGAGGGTTACTGTTTTCACAGGTTGCGAGCCTCATCATTGTTGCTGTGCCTTCGTCAAACTGGGGAGGACCCAGGCAGGGGAGGCGTGGCCAAAAAAAAAATTACTTGGTCTCCAAGCAGAGAAGCAGAGTTCCACCCATTCCTGAATGATCTTCCATTCCTGGATGATCTTCCCCGCACCCTGAGAAAGAGCATATCAGGTAGGACCAACGCCCCTTTTGTTGATCTTAGAAACAGGTATGCCATCACCATACCACGTGATGTTGGATTTATTTCCATCTCTCTGCTAGGCATAACTTTTATTTTTGTCCTAGTAAGGAGATGGATTTTTCAAATAAGAGTCATATTGTAACTAGGATGATGTCAGATCCATGTATCTGCCATTCTTCAGTGGAAGAAGGGGGGGGGGGATTTGGATTTGTCACATTTAGTTCTCTTTCCTATGTATCCTAAGTATCCTATTTCTTGTATAACCTTTAACCAGATTTATAACCATTGCCTGGCACCTATAATGCCTGGAGAATTCTCACCTCTTGGGGAATGAGAGGGGAGGGAGGGCCATGTGGATTGCAATGCTGGAAGATGGCCCTGAGAAACTCTCCTTATCTGTTTCTCAGAGAGGCTAGTACAGTAACATCTTCAAACCTGCGGATTGGTGGGAATCCACATCGGATGGTGGGGAGGGGTTCCTACTTTCCTTTATCATGGATTGTATACCTTGAGGGACCTCATAGCCTGCTTTGAATTTTAACTTGCTTTCATCCCTTTTCAATAAAAGGTTCCTTTTGAAATACAAAGTTTTCAAGAGTCTATACTTTCTTGAAGGGGAGGAGAGGCTGGTCCTTACAGATGAACTCTCCTGCTTGTGGATTTTTCTACTACTATTTCCTTTGTTTGTTTTGCATTCTGGATTAGAAGTGCATTTATAACTAATTCACATATGCATGAATACCAGCTAACAACTGAAATCTATGTTTGTTCTATCCTCACTTAATGACTGCCTAACAATGATTTGCATATATTAATGAGGCATCACAGAAAAACATATTTCTAAACAAAGTGCTACCCATAACTAAATTAAAACTTTGAGCATTATAGCCTTGACTCAATTTCTGTCTATTACAAATAGCTGTTTTAAATAATAATGCTATTTTTAGACATGGAATTGTGCTAAAATTATATTTAAAAAACTCTTGAAACAAAACTTCGTCTTTTTGAACTAAGCTATATAAAGAAGGAAATGTAAAAATGTAATTATAAAAGATTTAAAGTCAAATAGAATTGTGCATTGATATGTTATTTGTCCCTGTGATCATTCCAAAGATATTATTCTGATTTTCCCATCTCTTCAGCCTGTAATATTTACAGAAAATCCACTTTCATGCAGGATCTGTGGGCGTTGCTGCAATGTATCAAATATATTCTTGCTGATAGTCAGAAAAGAGTACATTACATATTGTTAAGTAAAATAGAATTGCAGAACAATATTGCAAGCTAAAGCTAGCACTTTTTCCTTTTAATCTCATGAGCTGAAATATTGGAATTGTCTTGCAAGGGGATAAACAGAATTGTAAGTCGTGCCTATGTTCTTCTACATCAGAAAAATCTAATCAAAGGTATCTGAGATTGAAGGTAAAGTATTTACCAAATGCTGAAAAGAATAATGAAAGAAAACGGCAGTTGGAGTCCATGCCTTAGATGAAAAAATACCCTACAATTAAAATGTCACCAAGGATTGAGACTCTGGCAAGCTCTTGCTGTTGACAACTATTTGGCTCTTGAAATAAATGGCACAAATTTGGATGTTTCTAGCCTCTTCTTGCTTTTTTATTTTTTATGAACAAAGGCATTCCAGTTTAGCCACAGCATTTATTTTTTAAAATAGCAATCGAATCCAGCAATCCAGCAATCGAATAGCTCTTAGCATAGGTTGTTCACATTGGTGAACATTGCTACCAATGCCCATGCTAACAATGGATATTTTATATGTTTAGATGAGGTTTGGCTAATAGAATAATCTCTGTTCTCATTTTCATCCTTTAGAAACGTCTAGTAGAATATGCTAAGCTCTCACATATCCCTTTATTCCTGGATTTGCACTTTTTGCCCCGCATACTTCCAAAAACATTGACTAGGTAACTAGCAATATATATTCAATATAGCATAAATATTTTATTCTTTTAAAATAGGCTTTGAATTCACTGCTGTACATTACTTATGCAATAGAATTTGTACTTTTAATCTGTCTGAAAAGCAGGCTGTTAAAAAATATTCTTCTCAACTAAGCTTTGATATTTTAAATATGAAATAGCAAGATATCCAGAATCAAAGAGATACACACCAACAAGCTGACAGTACATCCAATCTTTTTGCCATCCACTTCTCCCATTTTCATGCAGTCCCTGGACAAGGGAAAAAACTTTTGAATGAAATATTATGCAGAAAATATATTTATGCACATCAGATAATCTATCAAGATAATTTTTATTAAGAGATTCATACACACTACAGATTCAAGTATATGTTAATACCATAAAATACAAAATGAATTTAAAAACTAAAGGAATATGTAGCTACATTCTTTCATCATGCATTCTTTCCTTATATATTCCAACTTTCATTCTCTCCCTTTCTTTTGCTATTTTCTTGTCCATTTGTACACTGTACATTGTACATCAAAGCAGTAATATGCTATTTTATATAAAGCAATATAAAGCAAATAAGGTGAACATTCATCATCCTCTAAAATCAGAGAACTGTTGGCCACAAAGTAATAAACATATTAAAATATTTTAATATAATAGCAATCAAGATAGCTCCCTTCATCTATGCGTTGACTATTGCAGGCTAAACACTGTTTGTGTTGAAAATATCTACCCACTGCTGATGAAGGATATTGTAAGATCTGTGTATCTGCCATTCTTCGTGGAAAAAGGGGGGGATTTGGATTTGTCACATTTAGTTCTCTTTTCTATGTATCCTAAGTATCCTATTTCCTGCCTGGTCCTCTTTGTATAAACTTTAACGTAAGCTAGTTCTTAGGATGGCTGTTGCAACAACATCTTCACACCTGTGGATTGGCTGAATCCACATCTGACTGGAGGAGGGGTTTCTAATGCCTTATTTCTAACTGTATTGCCTGAGGGGATTTAGAGTCTTTTACTTTACTTTACTTTATTTTGGATTTATATACCACCCTACTCCCGAAGGACTCAGGGCGGTGAACAGCCAAAGGATAAAACACACAAAATCCAAAATTAAAAAAATATATATAAAAACACATTAAATAATTTGTCCCACACAGATTAAAACACCCCCATTGTTTTAAAACAAATTTAAAATTAACAATTAAAAGGAAGTTAGGCCAGGCCAGCCTGTTGAAATAAAAAGGTCTTGAGAGAGTCTGCTTTGCCTTTGTTCTACTATCACTTTCTACTCAATAAAAATCCTTTTGAAATACACTGTTTCAAGAGTTCTACTTTCTTGAGCGGGAAAGAGAGGTAGGACCTTACAGGCGTATTACTGAGTTAGAGTCAAGGAAGGCAATGAGTGAAAAACAGCTTTTAATTACCCCTTCGGTAATGTTTCCAATTCCCGAGTCCTCCCCTTTAGACTGCAGGATGCCCCTTGTATATTTATGCAGCTGATAAATGAAGTGCTGCATGAGCACCTGTACAAAGAGGTTCTGGTCTAAATCAGGTTCTGGTCTAACTCAAGGCTTGAGGCCAGATCCAGCCCATAGGGTGCTTAGATCTGGCCCACGGGGCTGTCCTGGAAACAGTGAAAGACTGGCCTGCAATGGCTCTGCCAGCAAAAATGGAGCTTGGGAGGGCTGCGAGCTGGCCATGGCCACCTGCCCCCCCCCCCGCCCAAACACAATCCTGATGTGGCCCTCAATGAAATTGAGTTTGACACCCCTGGTCTAAATGGATGATATTTTAATCCATATCGAATCTATGGCAGAGCATGTAAAATTAGTCAGCTCAAAAAGCTCAGAGAAGCCCAATTGTATGCTAAACTGTCTAAATGAGAATTCCACCAAAATAGAATTGACTATCTGGGGTATCACATTTCCCATGAAGGAATTGACCCTCAGCAACTACAAACGTTCCTGGGAAAATTTTATTGTCAATTCACCCCATCATTTTCTCAGATAGCCCTCCCCATAACCAACCTAGTAAAGACAAAAGGGAAAGGGAACCCCAAGTCTAACCAGCCGCTGAAATGGACAATGGAATGCCAAGCAGCATTTGAAAACCTCAAGTGCCTGTTCACAGCAGAACCGGTGCTGAAACACCCAGACACCAATGATACCTTTGTCATTCAAGCAGATGCTAGTGATATGGCAGTGGGAGCAATGCTTCTGGAGAAAAATGAGTAGGGGTCCTGCAGTCCTTTGCCTGTATCTCCCAAAAGCTTATCAAAACTGAACATAGGTCGGGGGTTTGTGAAAAGGAAGTGTATGCAGTGCGCTTGGTGCTTTTAACCTGGAGACACTCCTTGGAAAGGGGAAAAACCTCTTTTGAGATATAGGCTGACAAAAAAAACTTAGAAGCCTTAAAGACTACCGCAAATTATCATCCAAGCAAGTATGCTGGGCTCAGTACTTTAACTGATTCAATGTCATACTGTGATATCTCCCAGTGGGGAGGGGAGAACTTCCTAGCAGATGCCCTATTCAAAGCTGGAGGTAATTAGACCAGTTATCCCATTCCGGCAATTAGCTGTTCCAGTCACAGCCAGAGGGCAAGCTAAGCTAAAAGTCCAGGTAGCTGAGGACCTAAGGGATACCCCGAAAAGGGCATTAGAGAAGGACAAGTGGTTCCAAACCCATAAGGGTGAATGTACGATGCAGGATGTCTTAGCTTGGGTGGGAATAAATTATACATTCCTGAAAGTCAATGATTAATGGTTCTACAGAAAAGCCATGATTCAAAAGTAGTGGGACATTTAGGCTTTGTCAAAATCTTGCACTTCGTCAAGCGCCAGTTTTGGTAGCTGTCACTAAAGAAGGACATAGAAAATTATGTTGCCAGCTACCCTATTTGTATCTCTGCCAAAAGGCGGCAAGGAAAAATGCCAGGACTTCTCCAGCTTGTGGCAGAGCCACCTGGGAGGGCTGGGAATGAGGGGGAAAATCTGTAACTTTTTTGTGCAGGAAATTTAATTCTAGCCTGACTTTATTGCAGCCAGCACTTTTAGTAAAAGAGCCTATCACTTCACTCTTTCTTTCTTAAGAGACCTGACTGAGGCAGTCAGAATCTCTATGCTTAGAACTCTAACAGAGCCAGAGTATGGCATGTACATTGTTGCCAAATAACATAGCCTAGCAATAAAGATACTGAATTAGTAAATTTCAGCTTTGGATCTTGCCTCTGCCATGAAGTTGATCATCAGGAAATCATCTATTCAGTATCACCACCCACATTTACAATAGGAATATTTTTGTGACATATTACATGGTTTTTTAAATCATAGCCCATTATAATATTAACACCACTGGTAATGCAAATTAAATTCCTTATCTGTTGTTAAATGTGGACCTTTCAGTGATGCCCAATAACAATTTGGAATCTCTTTTAAAAGATTATTGGTAGCAATGAAGCACAGTTCACAACAGAAAGTTGTAAGAACATAAAAATATTCCTGTTCTTAAGATTCAGATTCATTCCTATTAGTTGCATGAAGAGATAAAATTCAGCGCCCTTGCAAGAACAAATGGAAGGCAATAGCTTTTAGAGGTCAGTGAAGATCTTCTGCTATGCCCAGAATTTAGAGCAATCTTCTCCTTACAGGGTGTCTTTATATATGTGGTACAATGGCTTGTCCTGTTACTCATTTTAGAAAGCATAGTTCAGGGTAACTGGAGAGCATCAGGCAAGTATAGAGTCTAAGATGATTCATTCTCTATTTATAGTTCTACCAGTTGTAGAACCTCATACAGCAAAAATAAAGACAACATTGAATGCTTTCTTTATGTGATAAAGAAGCTATCTGACACTGAATTCATTCTTGACATAGTATAGCAAGGACAATCAAGGACGGGGGAAACCATTTTCTTGTATAAGGTAGAAGAGAAAATATCACCTCATTCCCACTCCCTGCCAATTTCATGTTAATATCTAATGCCAATCAACTTATTTTGTCATCATCGGCAGAACATTGCACAGACATTCTTCCCCTAACACTAAAATATAATAATAATATATTAAATCACTATTTTTCTGCCCTTTCATGAGATCCCAAATTTTACCCATGATTTTAATGGTACTAAAAGCAAGTCTAGCTTTGATTGAAATGCAACCGGTATCAAACTCATCTACAGATTTTTCATTACTATAAAGCTTCTAATTAAAACTGGTTATATATTATGAATAATTAGATTCCATAAATATTTCCTGATTATGCCACCCCAAAATTGGAAGGAAGGGAAGAACTTCCTGGGCACAGAAAGATTGCATGTCATTCTGATTCTGTTATAAGTTTTCTCTGTGACATGCAAAGTTTCAACAGATAAGGAGTCTAAGATGTGGGGCACTGTTGAAATATAAGTTCATCTTTTGCGTATTACATGCAGGACGACCTATTTTGTAATGTACAAAATCTAGTATTTGTAATGTACAATCTGACAACTTGATGACTGATATGTGTCTGTTTATATTATTCCCAAAATGATTCATTTCGGAAGAATGCAGACAATACAATATTTCTTGCTGAAAAGCATGCATCCATTGCTCACCTGTAGTCCAGCAGCCTCTCCATAAGACGGGTTACAGTGGCGATTAATGAAACACCACTTTCTCTCCATGTTTCACGTTCAATTTTCTTCAGCAGGCTAGAAGGAATGAACCCAGGGCAAAATATCAGCATTTATTTTTACCAGTCTCCATAACAACCAATTTATACTCAAAGGTACCTAAAATGTCTTAGCAATATCTGTTCATTTTAATATTTGTTATTTTATACAAAACACAACTGCAAATATTGTCTTACCTGGGATAAGGACCAAAAAGTGGAATTCTACTCCAGGAAGCATTGACAAGGCAAATTGATTTTTTAAGGTTAGCCAACTCCAACTCAACATAGACAGAAATATGTTTATATATATGTGTGTGCCTTTGTGTGCGTTTGCATGCAAATGTGCATATACAGACTCACACATACAGAAAAAAACACAAATATCATCTATCTACCTATCATCCATCCGTCTGTCTGTCTGTCTGTCTGTCTGTCTGTCTGTCTATCTATCTATCTATCTATCTATCTATCTATCTATCTATCTATCATCTGCAGAGAAAGAGAGAGGAAGAGATTATATTCAAAAGAGCCAGGATTTTATTATATACCAATCTACTGTACTTCATTAAACTTGCATTTTGACATCAAGGGAAAAATGAAAATTTTGTTACCTAGAAGACAGCATTTCCCATCTCACTGCTCCTGTTCGATGAGATTTCAAATCTTCTCAATGTAAGATCCCCCCCCCCATATTTCAACCAACAGTAGTTCTGCACCCACTCAATTTACTGCATTGTAACTGCCACAGGAAAAGGCTTTTCCTGGGATTTTTAAAAATATACTTCCTTGGTGTTATTTCTGCATGTTAATTTCATTTATTTAACCATTAAATAAATGATAAATTCTTGGTGATATACATTATCCCAATTTCCTTATTTCCCTGTTCTCCAGAACAAAGAATGAATACAAAAGTCAGTAGAGCCATAACCAATACACACACCTTTATTCAATAATTAAATAATAGATATCAGAATACTCTTTCCCCAAATGCTTATTCCCAAATCCATATTCATGCATGTTTACCTACTGTACAGCTTGAGATAAGTACCTTCTGCATATATCTTCTTGATTATTGCTTTCCATATTACAAGATAGAGCTCTACATTTTTAAATTATCAGATAAAACATGTTTTTAAGCATGAAACAGGGTCATTGACTCAATCAACTACACTTTTTGAAGAAGTTGTGTGGAAAAGCTTTAAAATATTATACTAATAGGTGTATGTTTTGTACAAAAAAAATCCTAGTATACTAGATCAGGGAGAAATGTTCATTGTCATGCTCATCTCAAGTTATATAGGTAATAAAAAAAATCATCCAACTTTCAGTTCAATTATTATAAGGCTTATATTTATCCAGTAGGTTCCTTTTAAGTAGTGATAATGGTAAAAGGAGGCAAAAATTCCAGACTCAATTGCAGGGTATAGTAGGAAAAAAATCACCAAGGAAACAACAAAGCATAGGTAGCAATGGATAAATGTCTATAGCAAAGTAGCATGGCATGGCAAACTAGTAGAAATAAAGTATTCTTTTCTTCAGGTCAAAATGGTAATAGATGACAAAAGACATATGGAACTAACACCACATAAGTGCTACTCATGCAAACGAAATGATTGCAAGTGGAATCATTCAAAGTTCACCAATGCATGAAAAGTCAGCTATACATAACAATTGCTACTTGTGCATTATAACTTCCATCACTATATGCTAATAAACTGTAATATATTACAGTATATATTATCCAGAAGCTGCCAAATAGCTTTCAGATGATCCAAGGCTATCTTGGGTTTTCTTGTACCCTGAAGTACCAAGAACCAGAAACCTAACTTAATTCTAATCTAGTAAAACCAAAAGTCTGCTCCTGTGAATGAATTTCATAGTTATATGCTAAATAAAAGAGTGAAAATATTTAGGTGCTGAGCAGTAGATTTACTGTTTCCCTTCCTGTAGCTAAACAAGTCTGTTTCCTGTAAGAGAGGAATTAAAGACTGCACAGTTGACTGAATTCCAGGATTGTTTAAAGAATGAAGTAGGACTATTGGAAGTTGTTTCACATTTTATATTTCAGATTATTTTCCAGGTCCCTGTTTCTTTGAAGCTTGAGCTATTGAGTAATTTCTTAGGCCCAGGAGCACATTTAGACTATTGAGATTATGTCATAGGTGCTCCCATGAGATTGTTATGGAGCATAGTTTAAATATGAAAGAAAGCTGTAAATTTGTTCTTTTTGTAATATTATATACATCATCCTCTGGTCTCAGAATTGACAAGCCCTAATTATCTTTTTCTTCTTTATCTTAACAAGTTGACACTATAATCATCCATTATCTTTATTTTCAAAAAAATGCCTGAGATCATCTTCAATAGGAATAGCAATAACACTTAGATTTATATACTACTTCATAGTGCTTGTTGTGACTCCGACCCCCGAGCCCGTCTTATCGGAGGGAGAAGACTCCGAAAATGAAGGAGAGGAGTTGGCAAGGCCTCCCTCTCCAGGACCCTCCTCTCTGCAATACCTCAGGTGTCTTCCGAAGGCCAAGAGATAGGCCAGGAGCCAGACACTTCCGAGCAGCCGCAGTTAGACAGCGACGGAGATAAGTCTTGGCTGGATCCCCGACAGCGTCGAAAAGACAAGTGTGCGCAGCAGAGAAGGAGGCATGCCAGAGATTAAACTGAGTCACTGGACCACACCTCACAGGGGATAAAAGGGGGTATGGTGGCCATTCAGGCTTTGTGACAGACAAAACTGAAAGCTAGCAAGTCATTCTGCATTTCTGGAACTTTGTTATATGCTCTGCTTGGATTGATTTTTGAACTGGACTTGACTATTCTTTGGCTTTTGTGGACTTACTTTGATGTTTCGGTCAAAGGAGATAAACCTCCCTTTGTAAGTAAAAACTTTTGGCAAGCAGCCACTGGGTTGCTGCCAATTCTGTTATCAAAGGAAATTCTTGTCTGCTGGTTTATTTTAACTCTTGGTCGACTGCTGGTGTGCGTGTGTGAGACGGGGACAGAACAGTGCTTTACAACACTCTCTAACCAGTTTACAGTGTCATCATATTATCCCAACAATCTGATCCTCGTTTTACTGACCTTGGAAGGATGGAAGGCTAAGTCAACCTTGAGCTGTCAAGATCAAACTCCTGACAGCGGGCAGGCGCCTGCAATACTGCATTCTAACCACTGTACCACTACAGCTGTAGATCTTATGGCTTGTTTTGTAGTATGCCTTCTTTTCTTTAAAGATTATTTTTTTAAAAAAACTGGGGAAAGGAAAGCCAAGAGTTCTATGCAAATACTATTGCTCTTGGGTACTGTTTATTTGCATCTGGTTCAGCCTAATTCCGTTGTACCATGTGCAATGACAATAAAGTAAAGTAAACTAAACTAAAAATATTTGAAGGCCTATAGATTAGGTAAAATCATGAAATAAATCCCAGGAAATTTATTCTCTGGTATTTATAAATCTGCCTGGGGAACTTCAGAAAATACATATGGGCCACAAAACATGGATATAAGGCACTTCACTTTTTGTGGAAATGATAAGGAATTAGGAAATTATCATAAAAATATTTTCAGATCTGAAAATTTCTCTATGACCAAACATTAAAAATTGCTCAAAGTGAGAGAGCATCTTGAAAGAGGTGGTTATAATCATATTAATTATAGCCTTACCTCAGGAGGGAGGGAGGGAGAGAGAGAAAGAGAGAGAGAGAGAAAGAAAAAGAAAGAAAAAGAAAGAAAGATAGATGGATAGATAGATGATAGATAGATAGATAGATAGATAGATAGATAGATAGATAGATAGATTGATTTGGTGGATGAGTGAGTACATTTCCAAGAATTCATTCAAGGCATTGGCATTCATACAGCAACCTTTCAAAGATAATACTTAAAGTAAATATTCATAACAAAAGATCTTCTCAAACACAAGACTTAGTTACCTCAGGAAATACCTAGACAGGTCAGAGAATGGCATATTTCAGCTTTTTTAGCATTCTGTCATGCATATCTTGAGGGAAAAACTCCATCACATGTTTCATTATAATATGGGTTATTCTATATTCCTCTAAACCTGTTTCTGAAGATAGTTTGCTTTCTAAATACCATTCCTTGCCTTTAGCACTAATCCTTAGCATTCACTGAGCACACACACAGCATATTGTACAAAAAACCTAGTTTGAACAATTGTGTTTATTCTCATGTTGGTTAGAGAAACCAAAGGATGGTTGAGTGCATGACTTTTTATTTCCCTGCTTTTAAATACATACAAATAGTAAAAAAGGATGAATATTTAAGCCCTTTGTATTTTAACAAGAAAATTAATATCTAATTGTACCACTATTTGCTTAGATGTAAGTTTCTGATGCTGGGTTTTGTCTTTTTCTTCTTAAACTCTGTCTTCTTTGATAGTACTTTGGGGTTCACCTATGGGGTACTGTACTTGCTAAGGCCTTTACGTGAGCATATAATTTTGAGTCTTTTCATGCTGCTTCTCAAACAAAAAAAGAGCTTCATTTGAACAATTTACCAGAAGTCAACAATTCAACACCAATATATATTTAACATTTTTACTCAGAAAATATTACCTATCAAAGCCTGTATTTAGTACCAATTGAAGGACACATTGTTTGGTACTTCATCAGATGTATCTGATGACTTTCCAGGCTTGTTGACAATTATTCAGCACTTTATGAAACTATCATTTTAGAGCACATAATTTGACCATTACCTTAATTTACAACACAGTATTATAGATGTTTATCTAAATAAATTCCAAGTTGGCTATTCACAAAGATAGTGTGATAGCAGGTATTATGGGGTATGTTCCAACAGAAGAACATATCAGTGGATTCAGGGACAAACTGTGGAGTTCTTGGTGCTCTTGGTTATTTACTTACAGGTGTTTCATTAACCAACTAGGTAATGTAGGAAATAAACCCATCCCTCTCCTAGAAAATGAAATATTTTAGGAAATATTAAAAAGACAGAATATTACATTTCCCTGGATGAGAAATGGAGAAACATGTTTTAAAGACAAAGGAGCTCCCTGCAGCTCCCTGTCCCACACCTTTGTCAATGGGCCATTATCTGCAACACAAAAAACATAATAGGACCCATCTAGCAACAAAAACTCACCACATGGCAAGGAAGCAAGCCTGGGAGACAACCTACAAAGTTAGCTAAAATCACCGCCCCCTGGGAGTTTGACAACCAATCAGGATGCATTTCTTACACAGGAACTGGAAACACTAAGGTGGGGCCGAATAGAGGGCATAAAACCAAGGCACTCCCAGCATCTCCTCCCCTTTTCTACTCAGGAACTCAACTCATGTGATTCTGTCCACCATTAAACCATCTTTCCAAGCAGTCTCCATGCTTCCAGTGTCTTTTTCCCCACTTGGAACTGAACCAAGAAGGATATTTCTTCCAACAATTTGGCACTCCAGACATGGGATTCCAAGCTAACCTAAACAATGGACCTTGCCCAAGTAAGCTTCCCTTGCTAGCAGCATATCCATTGAATCTGTGAGTAAGTTTTCTTGGGCCTTGGCCATTTGGGACTAGGTTTTAAAGGGGTTTTGAGTGTTGAGCTCAAAGGCTGCTTGGAAAGAAGGTGAGTACTTCTAAATTTTAATTTTAAAGCATGGAAAAGCATGGGAAACGTGTGTATGTCTGCATGTGTGTGAGTAAGAGGACCCTTCTCCCAAATTGACCCACACTCTGTCAAGGACCTAGGAGTACTCATTTCAAAAGATCTAAGCCCCAGAGCTCACTGTAACATCATTGCAAAAAAGGCATTAAGAGTTGTCAATCTTATTTTACAAAGTTTTCTCTCTGGTAACACTATACTTCAAACTAGGGCATACAAAACTTTTGCCAGACCTATACTTGAATACTGCTCACCTGCCTCGAACCCTCACTGTATTTCAGACATCAATACATTAGAGAGAGTCCAGAGATATTTTACTAGAAGAATACTCGAATCCTCTGCTCGAAATAAAATTCCCTATACCACCAGGCTTGAAATTTTAGGCCTCGATAGCCTCGAACTATGCCGTCTATGTTCCGACCTAAGCTTGGTTCATAAAATTATTTACCAAAATGTCCTACCTATAAATGAGAACTTTAATTTCAACCGCAATAACACAAGGGCTATCAGTAGATTCAAACTCAATGTAATTCGCTCTAATCTTGATTGTAGGAAGTATGACTTCTGCAATAGAGTAGTAAATGTCTGGAACACTCTACCTGGTCCTGTTGTTATTTATTTATTTATATTTATTTATTTTAGCATGTGTTTATGGCTATGTTTTGCTTATTTCCTTTTATATGTGTCCATCTCTATGTCTATACTGTTACTTGTTTCCTTGGACTTGTTGACTAACAAACAAACAAACAAATAAATAAATAAATTGTAGCTGGATCTTACTTCCTCTATGCATTTCCTAACCACAGAAAGACTAACAAGTCTGGAGGGCATGGGGGTTTTGCCAGAGCACAAGATCTTTTGTTAGGGAAGGAGGAAGAGTGTGTGTGCATGTATGAGTGACTTCACCCTTGGACAGCAGCTGGATCTCATTTCTCTGTTTGGCCTCTAGCTGCACCCCTGCCTGTTGCTAGCTCCTCCGAGCCATGACCGACAGAACAGGGAAAGCAGGGGGGCCCATCAAAGTGTGGGACCTTCTGTATATAAGAGGGAAAGCCGAGCAGGCTGTAATTGAAGGGTGGGAAGGGGGTTAATGTATTCTTAATAGGCGCCTTGGATTAGTTGTAACCCTGGAGGACCTATCCAATGAGACCAAAGGGGAGGGAATGAGGCATCACACTAGGGTGTATAAAATGCCTTGCTTTTGAATTCAGGGGTGTGGCTTAGAACTTTCTGTTGAAGTTTCCCACCAAGACCCACTGCACTTTGCAAACTGCCTTTTTTATTTTATTTTGGGTAAATAAACTTCTTTTCTTACCGATCCAAGTTTTTTGTGGGGAATCATTTCCAACAGTAATATCATCAATTTCATTACCCAACTTGCACTGATGATGTTATCTAGTTAGGTAATGAAATGCTTGATGGCAAACAACCAAGAGCTCCACACTATTATATGTGTTTCTTGTTTTTGCTTGATTAATCTGTATATAATATACATTCTAATAAACCTGTTAGTTTTGTTTGCTGAGGCTTTTCAAATGTTCCTTAATTCCACCCATCTTAAAATTTTGAAAACACATTATTACAAGTTTGCTTTTTGTTCCAAATATTAGAGGTTTAAAATCCAGACGTTTGTTGCATGACAATCATTGTGGGAATTACTACAATGCAGAGATTGTAAACCTACAAATATGACACCCTTTCAATCAAAAATTAAAATGATATATTAATATATTTTATTAATATTTCTGTAAATTCTATTCCGATTATTTTACTATTGAAGATGAGTTCTGTTAATCTAAACCATCACAAATGAGCAGATAAATGTACATGCTTAACTCCCATGAAATCAATTTTGAATTGAATTTTTACCTGTTTTAGTTTTTAGACAGATTGAATACACATATTGCCCTATAAGTGTCCAACAGAAACAAATGAATTTAATTTGATCTCATTGGCTGATTTAATTTTGTATAGCATTTGTTTTGCATTGGCATGCTAATACTTTTTAAATGTAAGTAACAAAAAAATCCATAAAAACTGATAGTGTTTGTAACTATTCCACTGAGAAAACTTATAAAAAATGCTGTCTAGAAAATAGGCATTTCACTTTAAAATATTAGTAATTATTTAGGATCTTAATAAGTACTGTATATTCTAGTTCTAACAACTAAATAAATACCAGAATTACTGATTTAAATAGAAAGAAATTCCTTTCTCTCCCACAACGTAAACATTATATACAGAGGGAGTATATTTCTTTACCCATTTAGACAAATATTATTTGATAAAAGAAACTAAGTCAAAGAATTTTTAAAATACATTTATTACTCACATACTGTTGAAGAGCTCTCTGTAAGTTTCATCACCTTTTCCTTCTGACATCAAGCTATCCAATTTGTCAATCAGTTTTGCTTCCACCTGTAATAAACAACAACAACAAAAAAATAGAGGTTTTAAACCAAACTCAAGATAAAATCTACAGCGGAACAAGTATTTTCTAGAACTATCTTCCTTTCATAATGGTTAGATTAAGAGTTTTAAAGAGTCTCGCAGGTCTGGCCCTCCACGTTATCGAGGGCCGACCTTGATGACGAGTCTTGGAACCCAGAGAGGTGGCATGCTGCGAAGAGGTGGTTGAGGGGTTTTTTACACAAATTTTTAGCCAAACTTTTAAGGGGTTCCGGGGGGGGAGGGTCAGATTAGAATTCGGGCTGTGGATATGGGGGATAATCTACTAAGGGGAGGGTCAGGTCTGGCTGTGAAGCGCAGCATGGCGGGTGGGGGACCCGGGGTCGAGGGGGGGGTTAGAGCTTATCCAGATGGTTTCTAACATCAATACTGTGGGTGGGAGGGGCAGATACGGCGGGAGCAGGGGGCCATATCGTTTCAGGGGAGCGTGCGCTCGCTGTTTACAAGTGGTGGCGCGCTCTGGCCCCCAAGGCTCCACTCGTTCCCCAGGTTGCACAGACCCTCAGGGCCCGGGCCTTCGGCTATTGTTGTGCAATGCCAGGTCTGTAGTAAATAAAGCCCCCCTCATTTGTGATCTTGTTCAGGACGGGGGAGCGGACCTGGCAGGTATTACAGAGACCTGGTTGGGCCGGGGGGGGGGGGTTCCCCTCATTGAAATGTGCCCACCAGGTTTCCACGCATTCCATCAGCCGAGGTCACAGGGGAGGGCGGGGGGGTAGTGGTTATTATTAAAGAAGGTCTTAGACCGAGGGAGGCCACTGTTCCACAGATGGAGGAACAGTGATGGAGCCTGATAGGTTTCAGATGGAGCTTGGGCCATTCCCTGAGGCTCTGGCTCACGCCTCGACTGGAGACCTAGTGGCCGCCTGGGATAGGGCGGCCGCTGGAGCTCTGGATCGGGTCATGCCTTTGCGGCCTCTGACCCGGCACCGATCTCATCTGGCTCCTTGGTTTACTGAGGAGCTAAGGGAGATGAAGCGCCGGAAAAGACACCTAGAGAGCAGTTGGAGGGCCAGCCTTTCTGAATCTGACCAGACACTGGTAAGATCTCATATTAAGAATTACCTAGTGGCGATAAAAGCAGCAAAGTGTAATTATTTTGCTGCTCTGATTGCGTCATCAGATAACCACCCGGCCACCCTGTTTAGGGTGACCCGCTCCTTGCTCCACCAGGGAGTGCGGGAGGACCCCTTGGAGGGTAGAGCCGAGGACATTGTACAGTATCTGCATGACAAAATCACTCAGATTCGGGAAGACCTGGACTCCGACTGGGTAGTTTCAGGGGGAATGACTGAGGCAGGTCTTGAGAATGTTATCTGGGATGAGTTTGATCCTGTGACTCCTGATGATGTGGACAGGATTCCACAGGTAGACTGAACACGACCACATGTTTGTTGGACCCCTGTCCCTCCTGGTTAGTGCTGGCTTCTCGGGAGGTGACGCGAGGCTGGCTCCAGGAGATTATAAATGCTTCATTGGGTGAGGGTGACTTCCTCGCCGCCTTGAAAGAGGCAGTGGTGAGGCCTCTCCTCAAGAAGCCTTCCCTGGACCCGGCAGTGTTGTCAAATTATCATCCGGTCTCCAACCTTCGCTTTGTGGCGAAGGTTGTTGAGAGTGTGGTTGCGCGACAGCTCCCCCAGCACCTGGATGAAACGATGTATCTGGATCCATTCCAGTCAGGCTTCAGGCCTGGGTACAGCACGGAAACAGCATTGGTCGCATTGGTTGATGATCTCTGGAGGGCTCGGGACAAAGGTTACTCCTCTGTCCTGGTCCTATTAGATCTCTCAACGGCTTTTGATACCATCGACCATGGTATCATGCTGCACCGGTTGGAAGAGTTAGGTGTGGGGGTTACTGTGTTGCGGTGGTTCTCCTCCTTTCTCTCTGACTGGTTGCAGTCTGTGTTGGCAGGGGGGCAGAGGTCGACCCCGAGGCACCTCATATGTGGGGTGCCACAAGGGTCGGTCCTCTCGCCCCTTCTGTTCAACATTTATGTAAAGCCATTAGGCAAGATCATCGTGATTTCGGGGTGGAGTACCATCAGTACGCTGATGACACTCAGCTGTACATCTCCACCCCGGACCACCCCAATAATGCCCTTGAAATGATGTCCCGGTGCCTGGAGGCCGTGTGGATCTGGATGGGGAGAAACAGGCTCAGGCTCAACCCATCCAAGACCGAGTGGCTGTGGTTTCCGACGTCCCGATATAGTCAGTTGGTGCCATCACTAACTATTGGGGGTGAATCGCGGGCCCCCACGGAGAGGGCTCGCAACTTGGGCGTCCTCCTGGATTCACGGCTGTCTTTAGAGAGCACTTGACGGCCATGACCGGGAGGATTTTTCATCAGGTTCGCCTGATTCGCCAGTTGCGTCCCTTTCTGGATCAGGACACCTTACGCACGGTCACTCATGCCCTCGTCACTTCCCGCCTGGACTACTGTAATGCTCTCTACATGGGGCTCCCCTTGAGGAGCACCCAGAGGCTCCAACTGGCGCAGAGTGCGGCCGCGCGGGTGGTTATGGGAGCGACATGGCGTTCCCATGTAACACCAACACCTCTCCTGCGCGAGCTGCACTGGCTCTTCCGTGTGCATTTCAAGGTTTTGGTTACCACCTTTAGAGCGCTCCATGGCTTAGGATTGGTTATGGGACCGCCTGCTACCACCAGTAGCCTCACACCAGCCGGTACGCTCTCATAGAGAGGGGCTCCTCCGGGTGCCATCGGCCAAACAATGTCAATTGGTGGCCCCCAGGGGGAGAGCCTTCTCTGTGGGGGCACCTACCATCTGGAATGAGCTCCCCCCGGAGATATGGAGGATCCCGGATCTGTGCACCTTCCGCCGCGCTCTCAAGACCTTTTTATTCCATCAGGCTGGCCTGGCCTAATTTTCCCTTTTTTCCCTTTTAAAATGTAAATTTTAATCTGTTCTTAATTATTGGGGTGTTTTAAATCTGTCTTGGGCCAAATTGTTTAATTCGGTTTTATTTTGCTTTTAAATTTTGTATTTATGTGTTTTATCTTGTGGCTGTTCACCGCCCTGAGTCCTTCAGGAGTAGGGCGGTATATAAATCAAATAAAACCTAAAAGCTAAAAGCTAAGGGAATACATTACAACATTATTTTGTCTCTTTGTAGAATTGAAATAATTTCATAGTAATAATCATATATTTAATGCATATAATATAAATAATATAAGCTGGCTGTAAAATGTTGGCATTTCCAATTCTTGAGATAGCTATTCATGCAAACAAACAAACAAACAAACAAACAAACAAACAAACACTACCTAAGTTCCCTGCTTGGAATCCTCCCCACTACTAATAAAAAGACTCATTGTATATGCCTCAGCATAAAAACTTTTTCAATCGCTCCGATCATTCTTTCGCATTATTATAACCTGTATTTCTTTCTATACTATTTAACAGTCTGATACTATAATCTAACCTTATTCTCCAAAAAGCTTGGTGAGAATAATAAAACAACAGAATAACAGAGTTGAAGGAACCTTGGAGGACTTCTAGTTCAACCCCCTGCTCAGGCAGGAAACCCTATATTGTTTTAGTTGTCCAATCTCTTCTTAAAAACCTCCAGTGTTGGACGGAACGGGACCTTCAGGTTCCCATCCTTGGCCACGCTTCCTTCACCTCCAGTCTCCTGCCTCAGCCCATTTATAGCCAGCTTTCTTCCTCCACTGGCCCTCCACCTTGCTCCCTTTGGCCTGGCCCATTCACTGAGACACTATTTGTTCTGGGCCTTTGGCCACATGGAACAATTAGCTGCCACCCAATCGGAAGCCTACTGCCTGCCAGCGTGTGATGGGCTGTGGGGCTATGGGAGAGATGCAGCACTCAAATGGCAGAGTGTCAGGGTAATGATGATTTAAAGCTGACCAGCCACTGTAAGGCTGTGGATCAGGATGAGTCAGCAGGGTTATTGCCGCTTTAGGACTGAGGATGAGTCAGCAGGGTTATTGCTGCTTTAAGAAGCTGTCTATATAAGGGAGGCCATTAGAGGGCGTCTTTCTCTCTCCTCGTGTATCTCTCTCCTCGTCATGTTCTATCTGCATTGTAGCTCTCCGTGTAGAATTGAAGATTGATTGATTGCCTGGTATGTGCCTACCATGTGTATGTCTGTATATAGAAGTCTTGTATATACTGTTTGTAATGACAAAACTTCTGTGTCCTGTATTTTGCTCCTGGGTTGTCTAAGAATAGTAGTCACGCTGTAAACACTCTGACAGGTTATGGGTCCAGTCCAGAGAGAAGGCCAGAGTGACTAGAGAGACCAGAGAGAAGAGAAACCCAGTGAGAGCTTGCACCAGAGCCAGAGGGATTGTGCAACATGGTCTGAGAGTGATTAGTGAAAGGAAGCAGGCAGCATGGCCTCCGTCAGTATAATGGTTTCATGGTGTCTCGGCTGAATGAGACAAACTACCTGTCCTGGAATGTAAAGATGGAGATTGAAATGTTGTGCATGAGAACACAGACAAGGAGCCAGACTTCCAGCAGCAACGTTTATTTAAGATAAGGATTCATTATAAACCAACATGCAGTTCCCTGCTGACAGCCCTTTTTTATAGGAAATTGTCAGCTTTTAACCAATAACTTTAAAATATGTCCCGCATTTGCACTGCCGAAGGAAAAGCCTCTGCTCGCGCCTGCGTGGACATAACAGAGATGTACCCGTGGAGAGAGGAGTTGTGGATGATTCTTTCTAATCCACCAGCAGTCCTGGATGATGGGGACCAGAGAAGAAATGAAAAGGCATTAGTCAGCATAATTCTGGCTTTAGAGGACAGTCAGCTGATACACATGAGGGATAGCCAGTCTGTGAAAGAGTGCTGGGAGGCTTTGAGCAGTGTGTATGTTAGAGAGACTGTGGGCAGTAAAGTGTTGCTGACAAGGAGACTGTATAAAGCACAACTGAAGCTGGGGGAGAACATGTC